GAGAAAGAATACTACAGATGAAGGCATAGCACTTCTTGATTTCAAAATATTATTACAAAGTTATAGTACTCAAAATCTTATGGTACTGGTAAAAAAACATAGATCGATGTATCAGACTAGACAGTCCAGAAATAACCCATGCACACATGGTTAATTAATTTATGACAAAGGAGCCACAAATACACAATGGGGACAGTTTCTTCAATAAATGATGCTGGGAAAACTGGACATCTGAAAAAGAATAAAATGGGACCACTATGTAATACCACAAAAATTAACTCAAAATGGATTAAAGACTTGAACATAATACCTGAAACTATAAATGTGTGTGTGTGTGGGGGGGGGCGGTAACCCAAAAAATCCACAGGCATTAAGCTCTTTGACATTGGTCTTGGTGATACTTTTTTTGGATTTGACCAGAAAAGCAAAGATCACAAAAGCAAAAAATAAATAGGACTACAGAAAACTAAAAATTTTCTATACAGCAAAACGAACCATCTAAAAATTGAAAAGACACCCTGGCCGGTTTGGCTCAGTGGTTAGAGCGTCAGCCTGCGGTCCCGAGAGACCTGGGTTTGGTTCCCGCTAAGGGCACGTACCTCAGTTGCAGTGTGTCCCCAGCCCTGGTTGGGTTGTGCGGGTGGCAACTACTTGATGTGTTCCTTTCACGTTGATGTTTCTCTCTCTCTCTCCCCCTCCCACTCTATCTGAACAAAATATCAAAAAATGTCCTCAGGTGAGGATAAAAAAATAAAAATAAATAAATAAAAACTGAAAAGACAACCTATGGAATAAGAAAAAGTATTTTCAAATTATATAGCTGATAAAGGGTTAAAACCCAAAATATATAAGGTAATCATACAACTCAATAGCTAAATAAATAAATCTGATTTTTGAAATGGGCAGAGGATCTAAATAGACATTTTTCCAAAGATGTACAAAGAGCCAACAAATACATGAAAAGGTATTCAACATAACTAATCATCAGGGAAATGCAAATGAAAACCACAATAAGATACCACTTCACACTTGTCTTTTTATAATAGCCATTTCAACAAGAAATAACAAGTGTTAGGATGTGAAGAAAAGGGAACACATTAGAACTATGGGTTCTCCAAGGATTATATACCAATGAGCACTTGAAAAGATGCTCAACATCACTATTTATGGCTACTGTCATAAAAGGCAAATAACAAGTGTTCTGAGGATGTGGACAAATTGGACCTCTTGTGCATTGCTGGGCGGGGTGTGTGTGTGTGTGTGTGTGTGTGTGTGTGTGTGTTAAATGGTGTGGCCATGGTGGAAAAAGGCATGATGGTTCCTCCAATAGTTAACATAGAATTACCATATAGTCTAGCAAATCCAATTCTAGGTATATATCCAAAATAATTGGAAGCAGGAACCCAAATGGATATTTGAACACCAATACTCACAGCAGCATTATTCACAAAATGTTAAATATTGATACTTGCTACTACTTGGATGAACCTTGAAAACATTATGCTAAGTGAAACCACCCAGACACAAATATTGTATGATTCCATTTCTGTGAAGTACCTAGATTAGGCAAATTTACAGGGACAGGGACCAGAGTAGTAGCTGCCACAGGCTGGGGGGAAAGGGGAGTGGGGAACTAGGTTTACTGTATACACTCTTTCAATTTTGGATGACGAAAAAGTTCTACAGATGGATAGCAATGACAGTCTGAAGAATACTGTGAATGTACTAATGTTACTCTACTGTACATTTAAAAATGGTTAAAATGTTATATATCATGTATATTTAACACAATAAAAATTCTAGGGTATCACGTAATGGGAAAAAAATACTATTAATAGCGCTAGTAACAGCTGCATCAGCAGAAAAATCCTCCTCAAAGTTAACAATGGATAAAATATTATTTGCAGTTCTGGTCAAGATGGCAGTGTAGGTAAACATGGTACTCAAAACCTTTCACAACCACATCAAAATTACAACTAAATTACAGAACCACCATCATTCAAAACTGCCTGATATAAAGAAGCAGTCACATCACCACTGGTAGGAGGGGCGGAGACATGGAACAGGCTGGTCCCATACCCATGTGTGGCAGTTAAAAATTGGGAGGGAGATCTCAGCTGCGGAGGTCTTCCCTGAGGAGCGAGGAGTCCCAGCCACACACCAGAACCCCCCAGCCCAGGGTTCCAGCGTCAGGAAGAGAAGTCCCCAAAACTTCTGGCTGTAAACATCAGTGGAGATTGTGGCTGAGTGAGAGAGAAGGCTCTGGAGTCCCAGGCCTTAAAGGGACTTACTTGGACTCACTTTTTCTGAGCTACAGTGCTAGGGCAGTGGCTCAAAAGGTGCCAGGGACATATATGGAGGAACTGAATTTTCTGGCTTCAGGACGAGGGCTGGAGGGGCAGCTTTCTCCCAGAGAGAAGTGCTAGCAGAAGCCACTGTTCCTTTGCTGAGCCTTCACCCCCACAGAGCTGGGAGGCAGGCACCATTATCTGAGTCTCCATCAACCTGGCTCACACTGTTTGCCTCACCCTGGAGACTTCCTGAGACCCAGCCCCACCCCACTTGTGTACCCAAGTCGTTTTCATATAAACAGCCCCTCTTTCCACATGCTTTGGACTTTCTTAAAATCCCTCAAACAAGCAGCATCTGGTCTCTGTGCGTCCTGTACTTCTTGCTAAGTGGCCCCAGGCCTGGCACAGCTTGGCCTCTCCCAGGGCCTCCAAGCCCAGCACAAGTCGTCGCTATCTGCAGGTCACTCTGTAGCTCATGCTGGGCGGCTCTGGGCAGGACTGAGTGAAATAAGTCAGGCAGAGAAAGACAGATGCCACATGGTTTCACTTATATGTGAGATCAAAAAATAAATAAATAAACAAACAAGCAGAATAGAAACAGATTGAGAGATACAAAGAACATTTTGACAGTTGCCAGGTAGGAAGGGGGTTGAGGGACTGGATGAAAAAGGTGAAGGGATTTAAAAGTACAAATTGGTAGTTACAGAATAGGCATGGGGATGTAAATAAAGCATAGGAAAGATAACCAATAATATTGTAATAACTATGAATGGTATCAGATGAGTACTAGATTTATTGGGGTGATCATTTCATAAGTTGTATAGATGTCTAATCACTGGGTTGGCACACCTGAAACTAATATAATATTGTACATCAACTGTAATTAAAATAAAGAAAAAATATATTATTTGTGATCTTGCATTTGTCAAGAGCAACCAGTATTGCTCTCAATTATATAAGTTGAAAATGAAAGCATAAATTTTGGTGATCTAGTGAATGAATTTGCAGGAAAGGAAATCAGAAGTATCTTATGACAAATCAAGATATCACATATTAATAAAGTATTACATATTGTATTACATAATATTATGACACCAAAATATTTTCGCAATTTATAACTTTATATTGTTACTCAGTGATCACTAGTAGTACCCCATTATATTCTACAAGTAATGTAGCATTTTTAAAGGAAAGTTTTATGCTTCAGTTCCTTTCCCAGCACTTTGTTCTGCGTTTGGAAAAGGAGCCCTGCATTTTCATTTTGACAGGACACACAAATTAAGTAGCTGGCCCTGATCCCAGCTTTACCACCGAAAACCTGGCCATTTTTGATCGAGTCATTTAACCTTTGTAGTTCAGTTTTCTCATCTCTCAAATGGGAATGACATTTATACCGCTTTGGAGAATTAATGTGGGGGGAAAAAGGACACACAGTGGTTTGAGAAAGTATAGATGCTTTAAAATATTGGTGGCACTGTTGTTCATACGAAACATTTTTTAACCACTATCCTTCCTTGAGTTGAAGTCTTGAGCCAAATACACGTCTTACCTTAAGTGAAGAAATTTAATTCATTATTTTCTATGGGGCTTTCTAGACTTCTGAGAGAGAAGCTACATTTGGTCAAAAAGTGTATCATTTTTATAGACTAGTGATCTCAGGATGGAATTTATTCCTATGACTAAAAGCAAAGTATAAACTAAAAGTGATGCCAAAACACCAGACTTCAGTGAATTCTTAAAGTCTCAAGTTTCAAATAGTGTCTCAACCAGGAGTGGACTTCCCCCAGTACCGTGCCTGGCAGTTGTGGCTATCACACGCGGTGAGTGTGCACAAAAACGCGGTGTCAAGAAGGCAAAAAATGGCCCTGGCCGGTTTGGCTCAGCGGTTAGAGCGTCCGCCTGCGGTCCGGAGAGACCCGGGTTCGGTTCCCGCTAAGGGCATGTACCTCGGTTGCAGTTTGTCCCCGGCCCTGGTTGGTCGTGCAGGTGGCAGCCACTCAATGTGTCCCTTTCACATCGATGTTTCCCTCTCTCTCTCTTCCTCTCTCTCCCTCCCACTCTGTCTGTGCAAAAAATGGAAAAATGTCCTCGGGTGAGGATAAAAAAAAGAAGCCAAAAATGTGCCAGCACTGGGCTGCCCACAACCAGGAGCTCTGCCAGAGTGCCAAGCAGGGAGCGAGGCAGGAGCTGGGGTCCCAAATCCAAATGCCATCCACACACTCCGACAACACACACCCCGACCTTTGGGACAGGGGACATTGTTAACCCACTGTCACTGGGGTTTTCCTGAATCCTTCATCCATACTCCTGAATCTCCCCAGAGACCGTATGCAGGTGACGGCTTAGGGGTGGGGCTAGGACCTTGGGACAAGGTCTTGTGTCAAAAGCCTGTCTCTGAAGGGCCAAACTTGTGACTGATCAATAGCTTAACAAGCCGGATGGGGGTAGAATTCCAGCGGCTCCCTGCTCATGCCTCCTAGAAGTTGGCCAACATCTCCCGCCTCCAGCATGTGGAATCCACTCTGTAGCATTCTCTCACTGGCCATCCCTCCCTGCCTAACCTTTGCCCTTTCTGATTGCCCTGATCTCATGCTGTCCTCCATAGCTATGTTTAAAGTCCACTCCTGGGGAACACAGACTGTTTCCGATAACCCCTTTCTCAGTCCTGCTTGACATCAGGCCTCCGGGCTGTGTACCTGGACTTTCCAGGACTGTGGCTGGGGTTTGAGAAGAGACCTCAGCACCTACCTGGCTACAGGATGAAGCTGGCCACCAGCTCCTTGATTCTGTGGCTCAGCCTGGGGGGAGGCCTGGCACAGAGCGACACCAGCCCCGAAGCAGAGGAGTCCTATTCAAACTGGGGCCTTCGGCACATCCGGGGCAGCTTTGAATCTGTGAACAACTACTTCGATTCCTTTCTGGAGCTGCTGGGAGGGAAAAATGGAGTCTGTCAGTACAGGTGCCGATATGGTGAGTACACTCTCTTTCTGCAAAAACAGGTGCGGGTGGACCTGTGAACAGCTGGTGCAGGGTCTCAATCAGTCATGAACTTTTTGTCATCCACCTCTTAGGTAGAACTGCCAGATTCAGCAAATGGAAATATAAGACACCCATTATTGGGGGGTGGGGGGAATATAAGGCACCCATGACTGGGTAGGGGGTGGGGAGACTAGAAAATAGACACCCAGTAAAATCTGAATCTCAGAGAAACAACAAATAATGTGTTAATATATTTGAAATACTTAGGACACGTTTATACTGCCAGATTATTGGTTGTTTCAGTGAAATTTGTATTTCAGATAGTTTCCTGTATTTTATCTGGTAAACCAACTCCAAGAAGTTTTCTAGGACTTGGTCCCTGGGGCCCTGTTACTGAGTTTGCTGTGAGTGGTGCCCCAGGCAAAGGCAGGGAGGAGTAACAGGAGAGACTTGAGAGCTCCTAGGATGAAAACATGTGGAGAACATTTTGCCACGGGGCGAAACAGCTTCCTAAATCTGTGCGAAGCTTGGAAATGGATTTCCCCCTAGTGCTGCTCACACCTTCCTCCCAGCTTTGTCAGTCTCTGATGGGCATCGGTTTGCCAAGTCTCCTCAGGCAGGAATGCCAGGCCTTCAGTGGGTAGGAAAGCTTACTGCCAGCTTCTCTACCCTCGGAGCAGCCCTAAGGGCGCCTGGACTGCACTCAGGCCCGGTGCCAGGTGTAGAACAGTGAACGGGTGGGAGCAGCACTGTGGCTCAGCTGTGAAGAGGGTACCTGGGAGCCAGGGAGCATGCCTGGCTCCAAAGAGCAGACCCTGGGGCCAGTTCTTCCTTCACTGCACCGAAGTCTATGTAGGGGGGCAGAGCCCGTGGCTGCCAGCTGGGAGACGGGTAACTTCAAATGCAAATGTTTTCAAAAGCACACGCAGTCTCACAGAGCATTGGCTTTGTGGTTTAATTTATCAAATGTTTCATCATGGGGTTAGAGATAAAAATGGAGAGTGAGCTTGGCCTTGAAGGAAAACACTTGAGAAATACTTTCTCCAAACACTCAACAGATAGAACTCAGCTTTGAGAGAAACTAAAAAAAGCTCCATATTTGTAAACTCACCCGGTCAGTCTCCCTCACTCCCTTTTTACCTTGGAGCAGGGGGACGCTCTTTGTAAGAAAAGGCTGAGGAGGAGACAGTGGTCAAAAGCTTTGTGTAAGGAATCGGGGGGGGGGGGGGGGGGGGGGGGGCGCCGCCGAAAAACAGAGAAGAGACTGGAGAGCCAATCAGCCGAATAAACAGGGATCAGGCTTTATTGGGTTCACTCCGGGCGGGTTCACAGACTCCGGGGGTCGAGTCCTAGAAGCCGCGCTCAATGTAGGGGCTCGTGTCTTTTATATCTGCCTGTTGCAGCTGGAATTTGTCCCTTAGGGTTTGGCCCTGCGGGGGCCATGCATGGAGCCTCTGGAATGTGAATCGATAAGAGCAAGATGGGAGTTAATCTACAAGCTCGAGGCAGGCCGTTCAGGGTGGGAGACAAGGCTGAGCAAGGAGACAATGGTCGAGCACTTTGCCTGGCGCCAGTCCCCAGGCCATCGGACACTTTGCAACATAGTTTTAAGCACGTAGGGCTATGGTGAAAAAAGAAGCTGCATTTTCTGTGAAGATGTCACACGGTCGAGCGTGGTCTGTGCTGTGGCCCACCGGAACCCCTAGCCACAGCTTTGTTTAGGGTGGGGTGGACAAAAGCAAACGTGCCTTGTCACTGGACTGTTCTCATCTGGTTTGCACCAACGGGGCAGGAAAGGGATGAACTCACTTCAGATATCAACACAGGTGCTCTTTTGCTTCCTAGAGGCAACACAAATGTAGGTCTGTGGTTCAGCACACAGGTAAGAGCAGGAACTTCTTTTTAGGAAACAAGAATCAAACCCACTTCTTCCTTCTCCAGCAAAATAGCGTTAAAAGATTTCAGCAAATTTTCGTTGCAAGCCTCTACCTGGGCAAGGTTGGTGTCGGCAGCTCTTAGTGGGGGATGGGAACAGTCAACAGAGAGATTGCAGGAAGGCAAATAACTGCACTCGTGCCACATAACAGACGTTCGAGGAGGGGCCTAGAAACCACACAAGAAATATGGGGTTAAGCCGTGTTACCTTTGGAACCCAGCAGAGGCGAGAACCTGGATGCTGTGCCCAACCGGTACAAAATACCTTCTCAAGCTGATTGTGAATCAAGCATTCTTTCGAACAGATAACGCCTAATCATTAACTAGTGTGTGCATTTTCAGTTTGCTTTGTGCTACGCCTCTTGTGCACAGTGTTTCTCTTCCCTCTTTAAGGCAGTTGTTCTCAAACTCACCTGGGTTTGAAATCCTTTAAACAGACTGCTGAGCCCCCGTCCCTCCTCTTTCTGATTGGATTGGTTTGCGTGGGTCAGAAAATTTGCATTTCTAAGAGTTCCCAGGTGACCCTGATGCTGCTGCTCCAGGGACCACACTTTGAGAAAAAAAACTGCTTTAAAGGCTGCAATCTTTTGCCAGAACGAACAATTTGGTGACAGTTCGTCTACAAATAAATGTCTATTTTGTAAGTACTTACTACTACCAGGTATACCTCGGAGATACTGTGGGATCCTTTCCAGACCACCGCAATAAAGAGAGTTTTGCAATAAAGTGAGCTGAAATCTTTTTGCTGGTGGAGGGTCTTGCATTCAATTTGTAAAAATCACAACATCTGTGAAGCTCAATAAAGCACAGCGCAGTGAAACAAGGTGTGCCTGTATTTAAAACAATGGCTCTCTACCTGGCCCTGCACTTAGAATCACCTGGGGCTTTAAGGAAGCCACCCAAACCAATGAAATCAGAATCTCCATGGGTTGGACCAGACATGAGTATTTTTAACGTTTCCTGGTGATTACAAGTGCAGCCAAGGTTTGGAGCACTATTTAAGAGGTCATTCTTGGAGAACTTCAGCCCTTAGGTTGTTCAGACAGATAAAGGCGTGTTTGTACCCTGGTAGCCTACAATAGTATGTCGGTATTGCTTTTCACACTTCTTATATCTACAGCAATTCATTTTCATGTCAGCACACAAAATCTGCTCAAAGGATCAGACGCTATAAATAGTATAAGCAGGTTCAGAACGTTTCAACCACGTACATAGCGTGACTGGTGTAAGAAGTCTGCACTGACATGAACCGATTCCCTCTCCCACCCCAGAGATTCTGATTCAGTAGGTTTGTGTAGAACCCTGGACCTGCACAGGTGGTCCCTGAACTAGACTGAGAGAAATACCAGTAATGGAAAAATCATGGGTTTGAGTTGGGCGGTGGAGTGGGGAATCTCATTGCCGGTGACCTTGAGCAAGTTATCTAACTCTCAACCTTTGTTTCCTCATGTTTATAAATAATGTTACTAATACCTATTTTGTAAGGTTGTTGAAGAATTAAAGATAATATATATATATAATTAGTGCTATGTATGGAGCATGATAGGTACCAAGCAAATTTTATAAATGTTATAAGAACAATAGTCTGGTGAACAAGTTAACTATGTATTCAGATGCTTCCAATTCTCTTTCAACATTAAAAAACAAAACAAAAGAAAACAAAACACAGAAACCCCAGTGGCTGGACAATACTCTCTTGGCTTCTGAGAGAAATGATCGCATGATTTACGTGTTCTGTGTCTTTACAAAGGTCTCTGGTGGAGGGTTCTGGAGCAGATGTGTATGTCTTATAAATCATGGTTGAAGATACTGTCCACACCGTCACACTTTGATAAAAGAATCTCATGATGAATTTCTTCCTGGGTTTAGTTCTAAGAAAAAAAATTATCTTTAAATACCAGTCTTCTTTTTTCATTAGACTATTTTTTCATTTGTTTGAATTCTTAGAGCAAAATTTTATGAACCTGTGAGTTTGTAGATTTTTCCAGGGAAAGAATTCACAGGGGAGCCATAGCCTGAAAAAAGAAAACAGTTACTGGTTTGAAGGCAAAGACTGTTCTCACACAGGGGTGACCAACTGTCCCTGTTTGCGGGGGACTACGGGAAAGGTCTGGAGTTCATGGGGTGTGGGACTTTCAGTACTAAAACAAAGACAGCCCCAGGCAAACTAGGTCAAGTTGGTCACTACCTCACACGGTAACTTCATCAGTTTTAGCAACTGAAATAGAATTTATCGCTTCAATAAAATTGCCACAGTTCTGCTCTGGTCCTTGATGTGTTACTCGTATGTGGTGTTGGGGCGTTTCTGGAAGTAAGCAGGAGGTACGTTTCAGATGCAGCGCTCTGCCTCCTGGGTCGACCTGAGTGAGGCACAGGGCAGCTTCTGCAGAACCCAGCGGGGCAGGGGGAGCGGACACACCCTCCCGGGAAGGCTGAACCCGGGCCTGTAAGAAAGCCCCGGAGTTTTTACTGTTCTTTTCAGTGACAACACTGAGAGAGAAAAAGGTTGGGCCCAGGCAGGAGGCAGTGTACATAGCTGTGAGTAGAGCCAGAGTTTCATGGCTAACTCTTCCAAAACTGCTCTCGTTTTTAAGAGTTGTAAGAATTTTATGGTGTTTCACTTTATTCAGAAGTTTTTACCTTTCATAACATCAAGTCTGTCAGTCTTTTTCTTTATGTTTTCTGAAGTTTTTATCTTGCTTAGAAAACCATCCTCACATCAAGATTATAAGAACATTCTGCTGGTTTTTTTTCTGGGAAAGCAGTCATAGCTAATATGCAAAAAGTGAGTGTTGTTGTGTTCCAATAAAACTTTTTTATGGACATTAAAATTTGAATTTCATATAATTTTTACATCACAAAATATTATCATTGTTTTGACCCCGCCCCCCCATCATTAAAAAATATAAAAACCATTTTTAGCTGGCAGACGATGCAGAAGTAGGCCACGGACCGGGCTTGGGCCATGTTTGCTAACCTATAAACCACAGGATCCAATTGCTCGCCTCTCACTCCTCCAAATAGCTAAAACCAGAAAATAAAATCGACTTGTACAT